TTGGATCCAAATTTGGATCCGGATATTCGCGGATATCCTGATTTTTGGGCGGATATCTAGAGCCCGGATACCGAAGGTCACGAATTCGGATTGGGATAGTTTTTCTACGGATCCGGATAGCCTGAAATTTCAGGATATCCGGAATCGTCCCACCGCTTAAATAATAGCACTATTTTATAATTATACTGATATTTTGTATCGTTATCTTGATAAAAATAATAATAGCACTATTTTATAATTATACTGATATTTTGTATCGTTATCTTGATAAAAATAATAATATCGATTTGTGTTACCAATCGATACATTAAATCTAAAAAGATGTTAACGGATGTTTTCAGTGTAAGCCTAGTAAATCGCGTTGGTCTACCAGTGCATCCAAGGGTCACTGTCGAAGAAACATCCAAATATGGACACGTGAACTGTTAAAAGCCGACGTGTCAATTGTAGCTAGTCTAGAGATAGAGAGAAAACGTAACGAAACCGTTGTGATCATTGCCTCTTTCCCCGTTTTCTTATTTAAAACCTACAAAAAAAAAATCAAGAACACATGCAACAAATGAAAGAACATCGAGTAAAAGCGCATAACAAAACGATGCGTTCAACAAAGGATGAGATTGAGAATGATCCTACCATCACTAACGTCTCCGTGGAAGAGCACGTTAGCGTCTCTCAATCTACTTCAGGTGGACAGGTAATATTTTCGAATATTATACATTCAACCAAAAATAATAATACATATGTTTTGTCTTTTTTTCTTCTAGTATTTGCATTTTAATATTTGTGTACGGAATAGTGATATTCAACCCTATGAATAACAGTTTGTAGGCCCTACAGAGCAAGTCTCCACGGCAGCTAAAGCACTTATTGGAAGATCGACAACTTTAACGGAAGCTCTCAAAGCAGCGGCTATTAACGTAGGAGACAAGCCGGTGGAAACCACCGACTTGGCTGCCATTAAAGAGGTGGAAGCTAGGGCTACCGGAGAAGTCGCTGATGGCGTAGCCACCGTGGCCAAAAAGGCGGTTGCTCGTAACGAGAAAGTAGACAAAAAAGATGAGAAGATTAATCTCCGCGACATGATCGCGGAGATTGATGTGAGGGTTACGAAAGACCGATCAGTGACGAGTGAGGATGCAGAAGCAGTGGTCCAAGCTGAACTCAATCACTCTCCTTTAAACCATATTACTCCTAGAGGAGTCGCTGAATCCGTCGCTGCGGCTTATAAACTCAATTGCAATCCTTCTCTCTAGTTGTATCGTCTAAAATCATGGGTTTTGTTCCTAGTAAACTTAATTACGGCTTAATTTCATGTACTTACCATGTTATTATTACGTACAACTCTTATATATTGAGATGGGAGATATATTATTAGCTTATTACAAGCAAGCGAGATGTTTTTACCTTTGAGTATCAATAAGACATTGATTGAGGAAACGCTTTTAATCAAATGGTTAAAGCTTCAAGTATGGTTCTGTGATTTTCTCAACATTAGTTCGATTCCATTAGGAAATGATTCAGTAGAGTCGCTAAAACACACACACAAAATAGGACATTGATTTATTTCCACCAAAACTATGATATGCACACTTTACATTAATTTTGTTGAGTCTATTTTTAGTCTTGCATTCTTATTTGCGGAGCTATCAAAGAAAGCTTAGCCCCCAATTATGCTCTGTTCTTAAATCCATCGTCGGAACCACTTCTTGTATCCATAATTTAGCTTCGTCTATAGGAAATCATAAGATTTTTGTTTTCATTCTAAAGCTCGAAGTAAAAAAATTGGCTGGAGATGCTTCAAATATTCCCAACAAAATCATAACAATTTACAAAATTAGTTAGCGGATCTGGTAACAAAACTTTGATAGAAATCTTCAAATCCAAGTGAAAACAAACCTCCTCACGGTTAGAAGGTTTAATTACTATACAAACCATATTTAAACAACGTTTGAATGCTTTAACCTTGGAAAATTGTTAAGTTGACGATTCCTCCTTATTAAAACACGCCGATAGTTATGACGCACAAGATTTATGCTTAGAATTTGAGTTTCACTTTGATCTCGTTAGCGCTTCTTACGAAGAAGGCCTCCCGTCCCTACCTGTAAAACCTCACACACACACACGAACCCAATTAAAACGAATTCTAACCCTAAACCCTATCATAAAGAAAACATATCCCCAAAACAGTCTTATAATATGAAACTCTTGGGTTTGCGTCAAGAAACTATCTTTGTGTGCAATCTATATAAGACAAAAAGGAACATGTTATGAATTATGAAGGCTCATGTGCTGAAGTTTAGTTTCTCTAAATGCGAACTCTGTTATTCTCTATATATAAGCATCCAATCCAAATAGAGAGTATTTGAGTATGATCTAACACCGATCCGATTTCAAAAGCAAAAGAACAAAGAACAAAGAAAAGCTTTATCCAGCCAGTATGTTCATCAACTAAACAGAAACAACCCCTATAAATAATTGACTAACCTCCTTTTGTTTCCTTTTCTTTTGCCTTTTTGAGTGTGTTTTTCTGAATGTGAACTAAACTCGGAACATAACTAAGGAGAAGTGTCTTTTGTTAACGAGAAAAGATAACAAAAACCGGCGAACGAAACGATGCCAAGAAAAATCAGTTATTGACAATCGCCCTTTCTCTCCAAGCGATGTGA